TGAATTATTGTCTGTTGGTGTGAGAGAAGGTTTCTATCATTTCGTGCTCATTGGTCAACGCTTTGACACAAAGGCATGGTTATCATTCAAGATGRTGCAGGGAACCATGAAGAAGACTATTCTAAAGCTACTTTATTTAATTTAAAGAAAGAAAAGAGCTAAGTATTTTTATGCCTCCACTGTATCTTTAGTGTCATTGTTATTTCTGAATTTTTATTTAACAGGCAATTCTGCATGGAGTTGAATGGATTAGCTGTTTACTTACAGGTAGGTAGAGTTAGCCATTAATTACATACATGAAGTTGTTCATGAATTATTCTGTCATGAAAATGAACCTGTATGTATTTCTTCAAGGAAAATGGTGTAGACTGTACAGGATAATGTTCTAGTTTATAATGGTATTCAATGTTATTTCTAGGATGAATGCACACCAGCAACATGCACTCAAATGACAGCRACAGAACAATGGATATTCTTGTGTGCAGCTCATAAGACTCCAAAAGAGGTGYGAATTGTTGGTTATTTTGACTTTAAGWAWAATTTCTGTATTTGTCCCATTTTTGAACCACTGTGAAGGGTTCCAAATAACAWTATSAAATAAARTGGGAGAAGCATTCCTAGTAGTTGTTACTATATTATTAAAACAAGGTTTTGACTGGTCAATCTGCAATTTGACTGAACTTGCCCATTGACTGTGTTGCATTTATAATGCATGMAARACAAGTTRCATTGCTGATGCCTATGACTACACAGCAACAGTCAATCTATCTTTGACTTGTGAGCAAATGTGAGGTGTTACCCCTCATTGTACTTTCKTTCTTTCTAGTGTCCTGCCATTGATTATACCAGGCATACTCTTGATGGAGCAGCCTCACTACTCAACAGCAACAAATACTTCCCTAGCAGAGTTAGCATTAAAGAATCGTCTGTGGCAAAACTTGGCTCTGTTTGCAGACGAGTTTACAGAATCTTTTCACATGCATTTTTTCATCATAGGTCTATCTATGACAGGTTTGAGGTAGGAATACATAAAGTAAGCACTGAAAAAATAGTCATAGTTAATAAAGAAAGAAGAAAGAAAAAGTGMAAAACTACTGACATTACTATATAACATTACTTCCTTTCATGGTTGAAGGAAAACGTCTTGGTATATGAAGAATTACAGTGTATACAATCATTATAATATTTATTCCTGATATCTTTCTTAGCCTCAACCAATTTTATCAAACATTTTATCTTTTCAGAGTGAAACAAATCTTTGCTCCAGATTTACAGCCTTTGTATTAAAATATGATTTAATGGCTAAAGAAAAYCTTATAGTTCCTATTGAAGATTCCCTTACATTGACTCGCAAACCAAGCCTTGAGGAAGTTGCACCTGAAGAATCTGAATCTAAGGAGCTATAGTTGKGTGGATGTTTCTTGATAGCATTCATTTGTCAGAAGGACATTGAAAGAGTGTTGCTTTACACAGGTTAGCRTGAGGTAGTTGAAAGGTATTTAGAAAGAAAATAATGGACGTGCATTATATATATTTTATAATTTTGCTAAGTTTATGTTATAAATACWATGATTATAATTGCAAACATTTTAAAAATTGGAATCCAGAATACTGAAAAAKTTCGAAATCTGGAATCCAGTCTGCATGTAGTTCCAGATTATCTCACATGGGRCAAATTTGAGGAATGAGAAGGCTGCTACAACTTGGTACCCTTTGTTCAGTCGGTGTAAATTTTGTAAAAACAAGTTGAAGTCAATTCTACGGTCTAGATTCTCCTTGGGTAGAGCGCGCTCGCTAYTCGACTCGCGATTTTTATGTATTATACTGGGCAGTAAAATGGTTACAAGCTGATTGTCCATTAGGTCATTGCGCTTAATGTAGCAATGTAGAACAAATGTTTGAATGAGAAAGTACTAGTACTAGCAGGGCTCGAAATAAGGGGAGGTCAAAATACAATGTCCTTCGAAATTTGATAAATGTCCTGTCAAATCGGAATCTGAAAGGACATTTTTACCAGCCCTAACTTCATGACCTTCCAAAAAAGTGTTTGGAACAACATTATATCCTGCGTTGGTCCAGACGTTATTTCTAGCCTTGAGTAAGGAGATYAAAACTGGACTTTCTGGACTGCGACAATGGACAAAATGTAAAAAAAARCGATTAAAAACTAGTTTTAGTTTTAAACTGAAATCCTTTTCGCTGTTTTTCGTGGTTTTCATTTGGTAAGAACTGATTTTGTTTGAAGTAAATAACTTGCCAGTCATAGTTAGTATTAACTATGTGTCAGAGAAGTAGTTTTGTGTATTACAACTATTACAACAGCTGTACAGAGGATTAATATTTACCTTTGCTAATAGGATTTTGTGATTAGAGTTAATTTGTTTGTGTAAATATAATTCTATGTTTTTGAGCTTTAAAATTGCTAATTTCCTTGAATACGCGGAATGCTTTCTGATGATATACATAAAGTGATGACTCAATTACCCGAAGAAAAAAGGAAATTMATTAGCGTTTGATTCTAGGCTACCAAAACCGTCATTTTTGGCGTCGCAAAAGAGAAGGTGCCTTTTTGTCAATATATTTCGAAAAGTGCCAGTGAACTCGTGTGAACGATCAACCGCATTTACTGACACTTTTAATCAAATATTGCACCTCGTCCGGTTCTTCTAGAAACACTTTGGAAGTCTGTACAATAATCGAAAGCCGTGGGAATGAACGGCATCACAGATACGAAGTCATGAGATGGTTAGGGGTCCGCGTTCCTCCTCCCTACCCTTCTCCCAGTAAATCATAATCCTTTCATCTTGATTAATATGCTAATCAAATATATATTTCTTGTTATTTTTAAGCTTAAAAGCTTAAAAAGCCATTAATACAAAATTCTACTATAAACACACTAGGGAAATTGAATTAATTTAGCAGTTTTGTTGCTGGCGGTCTGTGGTTTAGGGGGTGAACTTAAAAAGGAAATGTAGCTTTATCTTTAATCTCGTATCCATTTCTGAAGATTTTGACTCGTGATCGACGGTCTTAATCTTCCWTTGCTACATATTATAAAACTGATATGAATTCAAAATGAAATAGGAATATTTTTTCTGTCGCGAAAACATTAGTTTCCGGCATTATAGATGTTCGTTGGCTCCTAATATCACCTGCCCTGTCTTTAAAAAAAATTGATATGCTTATCTGATACTAGATCCTGATAGATAAGTCGTAACATTATACTAATGATATCTGAATAATTTTTGTTTGATGTGGAAATTGTTTGTGTCATTGGTATCTTTTGACTCGGGGAAAACTTCAAAATACTACGWTAATTTCAAGACGTATAATTCCACTTTACCTTTTCGTTMCCYCTCATATTTATTATTTGATTTGATTTTTTAGTCATGAATTAGCCCACCCATAGGTTTRTATTTGCTGTTTCATCGTTAAACTGAAGGGTTTTCCTTTAAGCAAGCACACACTACAGACACTTCAATCAAAAATAACGACATTCATTAAGCTAACGCAACAAAATAGATCAAGACTGTTGGAAGGTTTCTCTAATATAAACCTGGCTTTGTGTAAATAAACGGTCTTAGAGGTAATGAAACGCCACTTAAAGTAAAAAGAAAGACTTCAAGTCGACTGCCGACTGATTCGTGGCAGGTTGTTTTTTCAAAGTTAAAGCGTTGTCTATTTCCTAAAGCGGATTTTGGTACAATCCAAAAAAAGGCCATAGAAACGACCTTGGTTATTGTATAATATCCTTGGAAGCATTCGGTCAGTGCCAAGTTGGTGCTAATCATCCCATACGCATGATTCGGAAATCTCCATTTACGTCACAGATAACCGAAATTAGTTAGCGCAAACAGTGCAGTRCAAAATGTAAGCTCGCAGATAACACTTGCACCTTAATATTTCCTTCACCATAGTGTGACAATCTTCAAACGCATTTGAGTAGGATTTCATTTGAAAAAMCGTCGACTATTTGCAGTGATTCATTATTCTACTTGATCGTTACGTCGTGTAAACATCGTGGGATCTTTTCAGAGCTGTCGGAAATGTAAACTTTCGTTTTAATTGCGTTCACGTTTTCAACCATCGTGAGTCTGCTAAACGTCGCGAATCATAAAAACTCCTTGCTTGAAGTGGGTCTTTACTAAAAGCCAAATCGATTTCAAGTGACGATTACACCGATTGAAAAGTAATGATTTGGCTTTTTTCAAATTAAACAGCGATAACAATACCATCAAAAAGACATAACAAAGGAATTATCGTCTTTATGAGAGCAATCAAACTGGAAATTAGTAGTGGAAGCAAGGTTTTTAGTACTTCTTTGTGGATGCAGTGGAGAAGAAACTAAATGGCCTCCACAAACACTTCAAGTGGTCTTCAGCTTCCTCAAGTTCACATTGCAATTCAAGYCATAGAAGTGTGTTCTCTTGTTCTTTTGATTGTATTTGGACTACTAGGAAACCTTTGTGTGTGCTTTGTGGTTTTAAAGACTCGAGATCTTTGGACGATCCCTAATCTTCTCATATTAAATCTATCMGTTTCTGACCTACTTAGGATCCTCTGCTCGCTGTCMGTCTCCTGTGTGGTACTGATAACAAGGAAATGGATTTGGGATGAAACATTTTGTCAAATTAGTGGGTTTTATACGCTGGTATTTCTTTCGATCTCATTGCTTTGCGTAACACTTATTAGCGTCAACAGATATTTTCTTATCGTCAAGCCAAACAAGAATTTACAAGTTTTTAGTCGAAGAAATACAAAATTTATGGTAGTTTGTGTGTGGTGTGTAGGCTTCTTGACAGCGTTTCCTCCTCTTCTTGGAATTGGAAGATACGATTTCATCGCTGCCAGAGCAACCTGCTTCATTGCGCATGGAAGCGCGAATTCGTACACGAGTATTCTGGTGATAATTCTGATAGGTGTCCCTTGTTCTGTTACAATATGGTGCTATATTCAGGTATATCTAACCATGAGGGCTAGCAAAGAGAGAGTGGTTGTCAACGTTATTCCACATGCGGTTCCTTCCAACCAGTCGAGACGAAAGCTAAGTCCCAGAGAAGTAAGTTGRCTAGTTTTGSCCTCTATTTTGATTACTTACAATAAGGTTGWTTTATATATTCTTTGTCATCTCATTGAGCTTTTACTGCATGCATGTTTGTACTAGTCAACAAATGGCGGAAATTATGTTTCAAACTTAAACTTTTTTCATTTTACTTCTGCCTTCCTGGCTGTTATTAGTGTATTAAAAGTGTATTTCTCTAGTTGTTGTTTTTGTTGTTTCTTTTGCTCTGCTTTGCTTTGCTTCTTTTAGTTTTTGTTTGTTTGTAGTGTTTCGTTGTTGTTGTTAGTTCTTGTTTGAGGAGTTAACAGTGTTTACTTTTTGTTTATAGATCAAGGTTGCTTCTACAATGCTGCTATTGGTGGGCGTGTACCTAATCACGTGGATCCCAGTTTCTGTTGTACATTTCTTGCGAGTGGCTGGAATTCGTGACATTTCAAGTCACGTTGACCTCGGTGCAGCGTTACTAATGAGCTGGAGTTGCGTGACAAATCCATGGATTTACGGATTCAAAAACACTTACTTTCGTGACCAACTTAGAAAAATGCTATGCATGAAAACCGCTGTTCGTCAAATTGACAGGGAATGTGATAATGTGGATAATCATAACTAGGATTCTGCATAGAGCAGAGAACTGACAAAATGAATTTATATCAAAAACGACTTCCTGGTTATGTGTAGAAATTCAGGGCGGCGTCCATTACTTAAGAACCATTGTATACTTGTGGTGCTAATATGTCCAAATTTGTTGTTGTCAAGTTGTTTTCCATGTWGTTTTGTATTCATAAAACATAAAACAATCTTAAAACTAATTATAGAAAAAACAGCTTTTTCATGAGTTTCTGGGCTTTGAGTTACGAAGTCACTGGGATRAAAATAAATCAGCAGTTTTTCCACAATCTTGTTTCCAGCTCCTTTCCTGATCCACCAACAAAGTTAAAAGCCGCTACTGTGAGCGCATAATAAATCAATTACTATTTTATCATGCTCTGTAGGATCCTTTATTTGGTAATTCAATGATTACACGAATACCCATAATCTAGAACTAAATTCTTAAAATGTTATCGATGTGTCTTGTCCATTCCAACTTGCGATCCGGTCAGGGACTAAGAGAAAAAAAAACATCTAAAATGAAACAAAACAAATGAAAATATACATTTAATTGTTCATAAACGGACCTTAAGGTTAAAAACACTACCGAATTGACAAAAGCGTTGTGTACATCTGTGTATTGATCTTTACCTTTACTAGCAAAAGCCGCACATTCTTTTGCAATTTTTGGCTGCAAACTTTCCCATCCTACTTTTACTTTTCATRCAATGGTCTTGATTGACAACCTACAAGAGAGACGAAATGTCGTCAGAGGAGGGGTGTGCACTTTAAAAATGTGTGATATTACAACAATCCTCTTACCATCCCACAGATGTTTGACCGGTACTTATCACTGCAAGCTGTACAAAAAAAAGGAAGTGGATAAATGTGTATATCATGTCTCTTTGGCTCATTTCACAACATAGAGTCGCTAGAGCAAACGCAGGAAAAACCATGAAATAAAATCAAACTAAATACTAACAAATAGCGGCTATTTAGACAATTTGTCAGTATCAATGAACCAKAACACAATGAAGATGAATCCACATGGGACCATTTTCCGTTCATCTTTATTGCGTTCTGGTTCATTGATACTGACTATTTGTCTCTAAATAGCCGCTGTTTGTTAGTATTTAGTTTGATTTTATTTCATGGTTTTCCTGCGTGTATATATTCTACTCTCTTTTTTAAACGTTTTCTTTGTATTATTATATATATTCAATATTAGAGTGTTTATGTCCATGAAATAAAATCGAAATACTATTACTGCCTAATAGTTCTAGTTATTTAGTGACTATATTAGGTGCTAGAGTTGCTAGAGTGAACGCACTTAATCCGTGCAACTGTACAAATTCTAAGTAGTACTAATTTGTACTAAAAGTGGACCTGAAGCAAGACGGTATTGAATGCTTCATTTGTATCAATTGAATTTAATTTGCGTACTGCATGCTCGTTTTTTTTAATACAAATAAATAGCACTATTCGTGCAGTATGTACAGTTGCACGGATTAAGTGCGTCCACTCTCAACTTGAACAGTTGCATTAAAGTTTCCTTTGTATTCGATTTCCCAAGTGTACAGAATGTGTTCTTAGAGTGAACGTACTTAATCCGTGCAACTGTACAAACTAAATAGTGCTTTTTAGTTGTATTTAGTAAATCGTGCATGCGGTACGCAAATTAAATTGAATTCTCCATTTGGTAGTAACTATTTAGATTTTATTTCGTGGTCACAGTTTAGGATGCACTCTATGTCACTATGACGATTGCAAACTTTCGTTGAATTAGAGTAAATGCACTTTTAAAATCCGTGAAATACTGAAAAGTGGTACTAATCAACACTATAATGGTGATTGTCAATGTTTGTTTCACGTATTTAGCGGTCTAGTAAATAAAAATTTCATAAAAATCACTAATGATTACCTGGAGAGTTGTATTCCTGATCATGCACTTCAAAAAGAAAAAAAAAAAAAAAAAAATAAGAAATCGGATTTCAATCAAAATGATGGCAATTTATATATATAGGTAACGAGGGTACATGCAGTGGGATAACATTTTGAAAAGCGTTGTGTTCGTTTTTAATTAAATCAAACTCGAGAATAAATGATATTTTCTGATATCTTATATAATTCTCGCTGCGTTGGGTGGATGAAGCCTCGTTTGCGCTTCCCGTAGATAATGAATATAGATAGATTGCAAAGTTTACATAACAAATCTCAGCCTTTTAATACAACTACATTGCCATTGCGATGACGATCAAACTGGGATATTACAAGAGGGTCTCAATGGGGTTAACTGTGAGCCGTGAAACGGCTAAAAAATTAGCCGTGACTCGTAAAAATGAGAAAAAATAGCCGTGAAAAAGTCAAATTTTTAGCCGTGAGTCGTGATACGGACCCCCCCATTGAGACCCTCTTACAATAACGATAGTGATATTTTGATATGATGGGTGATGGGTGATAGCGATAAAAAAACGCATTTCAAGAAATAACAAAAATAATGAGGAAGAACTTACAATTCTCTCTCAGGATCTCCTCCCATAGAGGGTCTGCACTGACTTGACACAATAGTATTGTGCCAACCATAAAGAGAACCAAGAGACGAAGAGCGGCCATGATAGAATTCGTGGATTCAGTTGCTGTAGTACGGATTGTTTCTCAACTGTTCAATGCAAATCTCAAGCAATTGCTGTCGTTTATATACATTTTTAACCAGTACAGATGGATACATCTTTATTTTTATGTAGGTTTTGTTTTCAAGCACTGGTCTGCCCTATAAAACCAGCTCAAAATAACTCTGAAAATCACAGTCGCTTTGCGGTTAATAATGAAAACCCAAAATCATTGAAGTGGGTAATTCTGTTTCCAAGAAGATACCCGTAAAATCATGAATTATTGTTTTATCAGATTGTGGCTTACTAAGCGGATTTCAAAATTTGTTTTTCTCGCACTTTAAGGTGGTTGATACAATGACCCACATCGGTATTCATGATAAATCTTAAACACACTAATTCTGTACTAAAACGTATCAAACATGTTTTGGTATAAGCCATATAAGTTGTTTCTGGCTTGTCAGTTTTTGTATTGATACGCCTATTTCAGAAAAGGTTGTCGGATAAAAATGGCGAATGTAAATTGTCGAACGGCCCCCTGCACGACCGAAAGTACCCATAGGTTTTGCTAACTGATGAAAAATAACAACTGATTTATACTGCAAATAGTCTGTGGTGAAAATTGGTTTTATTTTGTCTCCATTTATATGCAAGATGAATTCAATAAGTAAAATTTTGTTGTCAAAACAGTGTAATCATGGTCCCATTCTCCCAGAGAACGTTTTCTGTGATAGGTGTATATTGCAGTTGTGTCATATTTAGGAAAGCGTCAGGCATATACCGGTCTAAAGCTCACAATAATATCGGTAACCAAAATGTTTTTCTATAGATTCTTGTACACCCTTCTCATTAATCTTGTATGATGCTCCAATGATCTTAGCTTGCATTTTTGCTGCTCTTTTTCTCTTAGTTCAGTAACCTTTTCAATTTTTTCTGAGTTCCCCCAATTCACTAAATCCAAATCACAAAATCACGCGTATTTTCTATCTCGGAATAGGCGTGTATCATTATACCGACACGTTAATAATTATGACATTAGTATTTCACATATTACTAAAAAAAATATATAAGATAAATATAAATTCAAAATAACTAAAAAAGTCTCCACTGATAAATTCAAATGGAATATCAGGTAATCTTTATGGGAAGCCATATAGCCTAGCTCAGATTTGGCTCATAGTACTAGCGTGCTTGAATCTGCCGACTACAGAGCTTGAAAATGTAGTCACGTGAACATATAAGTAAAGTTGATATGAGATGAAATTGCTGTTGTGTTACAATATTTTATTTCGTATATAGTCACTACGGTTACGGTCCGTGTAGCGCACGAGTTATAACGAGAAGCGACGCCATACGTTTAATACAATCTTTGTGCGGAGAGTTGTTGTTTTCAAATGTTCTAAAAAAGTTATTATATTTTCTTTGTAGAAACGGCACAATTATTTCTATTTCTGCGAAAAAAGACTTAAAAAAGTGCGAGGACTTCAAGCTTTGTTGCACATACACGCAGGCGTTGTTGCGCAGTACCTATAGGTGAAAAGCACTAGATAGGCATGGGATATCTAAACCAAGTATTCCGGTATTTATGTGATTATTTCAGTAAAAAGGCTCAGGTGAAAAAAGTGGCCCTGTTTATATAGATGAGATAGAGTGCCCCTAGCTAGGTAGTAGAGCAAATAAAAGTAGAGAAAGGATCTAGTGATAACATAAAGGGGAAAGAGGAAAGCACGCACGAATGGTTTGATGTCGCCGCAATAAATCAAACTTTAATGAAATACACCCACATTGAGAGTAATTTTGAGTGACTAATAGTATAGTATAATGATGGTTTTGTTGGTCAAAAAGCGTGGTATTTTTCACAATTCTTGTTCTCGTTTGTTCTGTCTTTTCTTCTCACACTGACTCTTGTTCTTCTACTGACTTTTTACTAAATATTTATCCTCGGATTCTACGGCTCCCGGTAAAGACAACATATGAAAAAGAATCGTCAAGATTAAAATAACTTGCATGGTTTAAGCTGAAACGTCCTGCACTAATTTCATCAGACAATTTATTGCGACTTATAAAATGGCCAGCAGACTTGTATGTAGATAGCACAAGGCCAAGCGAGTAGATTTGATTAGTCCGTGAAATCACTCATGACAATTACCATTTGTTTCACGGGTTTATGAACACTTTAGACCAGTACTGGTGCGAAATTGATAAAAACAGTTTTGACATAATTCAATTTTGACGTTATACTGTATATTTTAAATCGTGGTATACTTGGTATCACGGCAAATTTCGAAGAAAAAAAATCAATAAATTCAAAATCTAAAGAAATCATTTGCATCGCGTTTCAGCATATTCAGCAGTTCATAATGAAAGCAGAAAAAAAACATCATAATATGTCACACTTTTGACGAGATACCCTTTACATCTTTATTGATTTTAGCCATATTATTATTAATTGTCACACTGGCACTATGTTGAAAAAAGTCAACCAACTTTAAGAGTGCTTAATTAAAAAAATGATAACGGGAAAATAAATCCAAAATAACAATTGAAATTTCATATTTTTACTTTGTATGATTGTATTATGATATTCTATGGATGAATTTGATATTTCTTCTTCCCGTTTGTAGTTATTACGTGTTGATGTATTCACTTCTTTGCTAGATTAGTCGTCACATTAATGAGATATATGATGCCATATAGAGCTACCTTTATGAACTGAAAAGAAAAGAGAAATTAGTCTATAATAGTCTAGAGACATATTTATATTAATAAACAAAAACGCTTTTAATCAGCAATCTCAAAAAAGACAAAAAGTTAAAGGGTTACTTGGACGAAAATTCGAATCATTAGAAAAGACTTGGAAATCAAATAGACCTATCCATGGGTTTAATAATCATGAAGCAGCAGATTTCAAGAAAATAATCATGCAAATCCTTGATAATTTGGACAAAAAATGTTGGAGTAGATGACGTCATTTACTCCATCCTTTTGTTCTTCCATATTTTGAATCGCAAACAACTGAAAAAACACGCAATAATGATATAACATCTTCGAGCAGTAAGACCACAATAACCTCATGAAACAACAAGGTGCATAATATTCTAAAGGCAACACAACACTCAGCAAAACAACCAACAACCAGCTATCGACATGGCTTTCTCCGATCTGACTTTTTCCTCCAAACACAAATCGAGATGACCCGGCACTTATACCCAAACTAAAATAGAAGAAAAACTTACGGCTTCAGTTAGCACAATCCGCAGTATTGAGTGCACATATGCCGTGCAAAGTAACCAAACCGTGTAGTTTTACGACTTTCTTGGCAATGCTCTTTGGTTATGACCTGTGAATTCCCAAATTAAAATTAGATTATAGCAATGGCAAATTCCATGTAATAATGAGTAGAAAAAAAGAAAAATTTAAGTAATGGTCTAGCCAATGTATGATTTTGCCGGTGTATAGGTATAAAGTTCCTACATTGATTGACTGAATCACTCACTCACTCACAAATTACATGAAAAGTAATGAAAAACGTTGTTTTCCTTCCAAACATTTTTGAAAGTAATATAGTTAACCGTGATTCGAAAAAAATAGCCGTGAGTCATGAAATAGCGAAATTTTTAGCCGTGAGTCGTGATGTGTATCACCCCATTGAGACCCTCACTCATCCTTATAAATGTCTAGCTTATTATAGAACTCAAAATGGTGCATAATCGAATCTTGGACCGAAGGGGATTTTGATTAATTGATTGGAATTTGAATCTTATTCTTAACACTTATTTTTTGTAGAGGAGGCCAAAGGCCCATTCATGATTTGGTGCCGACAGCTCAACAGTTGTCGGAAACTCAGGAACAAAACGAAAGTTAAAGTGCTGTAACTCAGTACAATGCATGTCTCGCAACGCTAAAATGTACCGAGAAAGTTATAGCCCTATTACATTGTGCACTTTTTCCCGGTAACTTGCAAAATTGATGTGTGGCCGAGATAAGATAAGATAAGAGCTAAAATCAAGATGGCGGACATTCAATCCCGAGCCCGCAGTTTTCATCGCTAAACATCAGCGGTCTGCTCAAATGAGGGTACGAGATTGACGAACATTCGAAATAAGAAATTGCGCATGCTCTAACAACGTACCTGATTCGAAAATTACGAGAAAAGGTGCCGAAGGTATAATAAACGTTAATGCAATGCGTTGTTTAAGAAGACTTGAGTTCTACTTGGTGCAGCGCTGGGCGCAACCGAAAAAAGTTGACTTATTTCACTGTACAATTTGTCTCCAGCAACATGCGTCGAAATGGTAAAACTAAAACAATCCTTAGCGTAGTGCAGTAAGATTGCTAATTGAATCACATTGACTGAATTGTATGCTTTCTTACCGTTCCACACAGGGATTCATATTCGTTGGTGCAGTCTGAAACTAAGTAAACGATGGAAACAATGATTAAGAACTATTAACATCGAAACGCTTGCAAAACATTATCATGTCCAACTTCCTCCGGAGAAAAGTGCCATCGCATTCTGTAGTTCTTCTTAACAGTAAAGAAAACACATGTAGTACTAGCGATAGAGCTAACCCTTGAACTTCTCGAGCTTCGGTTCATAATAGAGCACACTTTGGCCTTATTCTTTTACGGAAAACGCCAAATGTCAAACTGGCTTTTGAGCTTTGTTTCAGAAATTTCGAAAGGAACATTTGTGCGCTCATGAAATGGTTGAATTTAATACAAGAAAAAAAAAAAAATAAATAAAAAGAAAAGAAAACGAAAAAGAAAAAAAAGACCGTTACTACAGTAAAGCAGCAATCACGTGATTAGTTTTGACGTTTGATGCTTGCTTTAACAGTAAACGTGAATCTAAAACTCTCTAGTGTTCACGTCTTTATGCGCAAATTACTATTATTTTTAATGTAATTAATAATTAGCATTATTATATTTGATTTTCGTTTAGTCTATTTCTGATTAATCTGTGATTATGAGTGTTCATAAATATTAAGAAGCATTATTTTGCTATATTTTGCATGTCAGTCCATACCTGTCTCCCTAATAGGAACGTTTTTTCCTTCAACTTGCAACAGCATTGCAGCAGTTACCATTAAAACAATCAGAACACGAAGACAAGCCATGGTGGAACTAGAATGCGCCTACCTAATGACAGTCCCTCAAAAATATGCTCCAATATATAGTATATAAGGGCGTTGCATTATTAATGAACCACCAAACGTATAAATTTGCAGCCAGATCAGATATCACTCGCAAATAGTGGCTCATGTTATGACTTCAAGTAGATCATAAATTCAAATTGCATCATTTTTATCTTTTAGGAAAGTGTTGATAGCGATCAGAGTAATATGTTTAATGATATTATTATTTTTTCTGAATCGGAAATTATTTCAGCTGTTTTCACCTCTAATTACTATGAATGGTTAGTGCGGAACAAAAGCCAGTAGGGGAACTATTGTAGGTTGGAGAAATGACGGCTTTTTGATTATTCTAGAGGTCACTTTTCGGTACTGCGTCGGTTTACGGTTGCGAAGATTTGCTCAGTTGCGGAAAATTGCCGATTTTACTACGCGGTTTTAGTTTTCAATGCAATTTTATGCGTGGATTTCGGTGTAAAATATCTTATTCAATAAAATCCAAAAATAGCGGTCATGGTTTATCATTCTTTAGCGGTGGTTAACGAAAACTAAAAGTAAAAAAAAATAGACACTTAGTTTTCCTTTAATATAGCCCCCCTAATAGACAATCCAAAACCATGTTTAATGAGGCAATTCTGTTACCCCACAAAACGCAATTTACTCTTGATTCTCTTAAAATAAGAGTCTTAGATTCCATAAGAAGACTCATCAGTAAGAACATGCTAAGAAAATCCACTTCACATGTCTGGAATTATTATAAATCACTCTATAGATCCGTATTGTACCTAAAGTAATTTTGTTTAGAGATTTTAGTTCAATTCCATCGCTATAGCACCGATCGATAAAGCAGTTCGACCACGCCCAAATTCAGTTGTGTCAATAATAAATGCATATGTCTAGACTTGATTGTATCAACATGTAATTTTACATAGTTATCAAATCAAACTGATGAAAGTATATATTTTATCGAGCCCGTCTTCTTTGCCTCAAGATTTTTTTTCCTCATTTACCCTTCAGAGTAAACATTTTGCCTTGAGATTGTTACACAAATAATCTATTTACTCTGAAAACTAAAAAACCCCAAAGCAATTAGTCCATTGAATTCCCCTAATACTCTATTAAATATCTTTGATCGATATTCAATGAAATTCTGTTGATAATTTTCAATCTTTTCGGGATTAGACGCGCAATGTTGTCTGTCTCACCTCATGTAATGGGGGCATTGAAAAGAACAATATTTCATGCGATGTTTCATATCAATATATAAATTGTGAAAATTGACTAACATAGTGATAGATTATATGATAGATAGTATCTGTAACGTCCATTAATACCTACAGTATAGTAAACTAACGATAACTCGGGGTTTTTCCTGAGTTGTAAACATTGATATCTCATCATAAACACTACGATATTTGAACGGTAAACATCCCTGTCAATTGCATAAATAACGTATCGCAAAAAGAAAGAGTGGGAATGTGGGAATGAAATAAAATCAAAAACACTAAACATTTTCTTTGTTTTTGCTTTTTTTGTGTTGTTGTTGTTGTTGCTGTTGTTGTTGTTTTGTTTTGTGTTTTGTTTTTGTTTTTGTTTGTTTTCCTTTTTTTGTTTTGTTTTTGTTTTTTGCTGTGTTCCTAACGTAATACACCAATATTGCTAGCATAAAAATCAAGTATCCTTAAGGATATATGCGCTTTAATGAATAGACTATCAGTCATGGTTGACATTCATTAAACCCAATGTATATTGAACGCTCGCACACTTTTCGAGCAGCAGCTTATCGAAACTCTATTATATTCCTCAAGGCAACGTATAAAGGTTACTTGATTTAATAATTCATTTGCTGTTCAGATAACGTGCTTGTAGAGACGTTTCAGATCCATGTGGACTCATATAAAGTACAATTTAATGAATTAATAGGAATCTCTTCTGTCCTATAAATTTCGATCGATATCATGTTTTTTTTTGGTATTTCAGTCAAAATGGTAATCGATACTGCATTAAGAGAAAAAAACAAGCAACGTATCTTGCATCCGATAATCTTTTTTTATTTTACTACAAATGTTTCTATTTTTAACATTTTCTCTGTGATGCTGTAGTCAAATAAGGCTAAAAGTAATTACGTGCAGCCACCAAATCAAATCAATAAAACCCTTAACCTATGTATCTCTTGAAACCGCATCATCAGCCCTCCCTGGGTGGTTGGTCGTCTAAGTTTAGCTCTCATAGTTATTAGTTTATGACACAACCGATCTTGAAAAGATTGTCAACCGAAATGTTCGAATTGTCAAGTGTCTTGATGTATATTTAGTTTCTGTAAGTGGAATTCTCTATGTCCATACCGCGGAAGTTTAAGAATTCCTTCGTCATTTCTCCACTAAAACGCATTTATTATTTTAGACAATCTTACACGAACGGAAAACGAATATTTTCACAAGTCGGATGGCTATTAATTGGAACATTGGAAACATGAACTGGCTACATGTATCCCGTACGGTATAAAACCACTTTTAAAAGAAGTGCCTACCACTGAATTCCATGCAAAGATATCTTGAAAAAACATTCAGTACAGTCACAGGGGAAATCTATAAGAAATAGACTTTTTTGAAAAAATATAATGGATTTGATTTTGCTAAGGCCTTTCTAGCCTCGTTCTTGTGTTTTTGTATCTCTTATAACATCGAGAGAATTTAATATTTGTCTGTGAATCTTTTAAGACTTGACCCCCCCCCCCCCCCCAGTCCTTTTTTGGCTTGTTTAACACAGTTCTCCCAGAAGCTAAAGAGGTGTCTTGATAAAACTGATTTGAATGTGTCATGTTGTTTGAATTTCATTAAATAAAACCTGGAAGCATTATTTTTCCCAAGACGATGCACGATTCGCAGCCTTTGAGTCGTTTTAATAAATGACTGTAATAAAAAAGAGAAAATTATAATTTTTCAAAAGACCAGTTGGTTACCAAGCAACAAAACTTGATAAAAGACAAATGATGCATAAATCACTTTAATTCTCAATTAAATGATTATATTTGCATTTAACTCGTTAAAACGCAGCATTACTAATATTGCGAGCGCTTTTTCTTCTTTTGTCTTTGAACAAACTCAACGAAATGTAAAATTGAACATCTTTCATGACGCAGTTGTACAAATTTGATTTGTTAGAAACACTGGTAACTTCAACAAGTACATTTGTGTACTTCGTGACGTTCTTTTCAAGTCAAAAAGCAGAAAACAAAGCGACGGCGTCGTCAAACATCTATATTCCATGATAAGAAGGTACGTGCTGTAAGTTCTAACTCCAGAACAGGTGGGCGACTGGTGCCATCAACCCATTGAACAACTGAGCTTTAGAGGTTGTCGACAAAGAATACCAAAACCTGTTAGACCGTGCTTATCTACTGGTCATATAAACAAATAGTTCTAGTGGTTTCAAGCTGCCGTTGATAGTACACTTTGATGGTATAGTTGTCACGATTCAACGAGAGGAGTTTCGCCCGTGGATCCTTGAACTAGTCGCATATTAACTTGTTATAAGGATCAACGATTTTTGGAAAAACAAAGTGTTCTTTTGCTGACAAAGAAAGGCCCATTTGGTGGCTAATTCAGCTTCATTATATCAGGGTAAAGACGAAAGTTTAAACATCAAAGGCGACGAATACTTTTACTTTAAATGTAAAGAAAGAAGTTCGTTTGTTTTCTGGACATTTTGGCTTCATCGACCGTAATTGTGGTATAAATTTCAAGCATTCAGTTCAAAAAAATCCGTTTTTCCTTGGTCAAGTTCTAGCTCTGAGATATAAACGACTGCTGAAGGTGACAAATTGACATTAATTCACAAAGCGTCACAGGAACTTATGATCATCGATCATATTCAGCAGCTGAATGCTCAGTGCCTGGATCGTGGATGGCAAAACCATGCTACCGAAGGATTCAATAATGGTTTTGTCAAAATTTGTGACTATTAACAAATCAAGGAGCACATTTAAGCTCTTTTTACTAAGATAACCTGATGCCTTTTTCCATCGTTATATTGGTGATAGGTCTTCTGCTTGGGATAACTACATTGATAGGAATATTTGGGAACTTTGCTGTAGTTCTTGCAGTATCTTGGAACAAGACTCTCAGAACACAACTGGGATTGTTTCTTGTTAATCTTGCTATCTCTGATATCGGTATGTCTGCGTCTTGCATGCCTTTTGCTGTAGCGACTGTGCTGTTTCATAAAGAGGTAAGTTGCCCTAACTAACCGAGATAAATGCGCCTACCACAGGAAACCCACTTGTGATATCTGTATAAATCCAACACATAAAGCTGGCCAAAGTTGCATGATCCAAACATTCTGGATTCTCAACCCCTCTCCTGATAAATATTGCGCAGTCCCTAAGTTGTTATATTTTGTATGTTTTTTTTCAGCACATCGGAGAAACTTTCTGTTACTTCAATGGGTTTATCAACACTCTCTTTTCACTTGCCAGCATCCTTACAATGTGCTCATTCAGCGTTTTCCAGTATGTTTCAATTGTTCTGCCATTCGAGAGGATGATGACCAACTTCCGGTGTCTTTTAATGATTCTTGGAGTGTGGATTGTTTCAGGTTTCTTAGCAACAGGACCCATAATGCATTGGGGTCGATATGAGTTCACTTCGAATATATTCAACTGTGATTATTTCCATAGCAACCACAAGGCGGAGATCTCTTACGATATAACTTTAATGGTCGCTGGTTATTTACTCCCGTTATTCGTTATGATATTTTCTTATACAAGCATTTTCGCTGCTCTTCATAAACACAGCTCTCGCATGACAAGAACAACGTCGTCTTCATCGATAACGAGCGCTGGTGCAGCCATTTCCGCCGGAACTAAACTGCGAGTTACTGTTCTACTTATATTCCTTACGCTTTTGGTTTGTAGGACTCCATTTTTTGTATATTTAGTGTTTGTGGTCGCACAGCCATCTGTGTCAATCGATTTCCTTAGTCAGCTGTCTTTCTGGGCTATATATCTACACAGTGCAAGTAACCCATTTATATTCACTTTCAAACATGTGGAATACCAAGAAACTTTGAAGGAAATTTATAGCACCTGCAGATGTGCGATAGTTAGACACTGCTGTGCGGTTGAGGAGGGACTGGAAGACGATACCAATAACGATCGCAACAAGACTCCGACTGATATTTCAAAGTTTCCAAAGCAAGAAAAATAATCACGTAACAAATGGTTATCAGATAACACTGAGAAATTAGGAAAATGAGTGTCCCAAATTTGGTATAGAGGCTAAGAAAACTAAGAGCCAATAAATTGGTTTCTTGCTGGTACAGTCATATTCCATATTTTTCGCGTAACGACTGAAAAAAGACCCTGGTACTGACTGACGCACATGCTTCTAAAGCTTCAAATAACATTAATTGACAACTATTAAGATAAATGATTTTTTTAATGGCGTATACGTTGTATACGTTGTTTGATAACATAGTCCGCCTACCTGGATAGATAGTTATTTATAAATTAAGATATATACTAAGATATATATATTAAGATATACACTTTATGTGTATCGAGCACTCTTTAATGGGATCAGCTACTTCCTCATACAATTAAATTAAGATATATGTAAAATAAAATGTTATGTCGGTCATACTTCTTGTGATTATTCAATGAATTATTGAGTATTGCGTGACAGGCAACTCTACCCTTTGATTGCAGTACGTGTACACAGGAGGCTCAACACCCAATGATTATGTGACTGTCACGCAATACTCGAATTTGTGTTGTCACACAACACGATCTAAAAGAAATGCTCGCGGGCAGCAGCGTTATAAAACGATTCAAGGGATTTTAATATACATTAGCTATAAGAATATATCCCATAAAATGGGCAATATAATTTATATATGTAATATGCTTTACTGAACTCAGCATTCTTGGCGGCTATACCGTCAAGGTTTCCTGTTTCAAAAGGAGGCCCAAAACTAACATACAGGCTGCCTGTGTAAGGTGTAAGACCGCTACAAGACAATAACTCTATTGTTATCACTATCTACAACAACAACCCGACCATCAGGCGATACGGCAAGTCCTTTTGGGTAACAACTCCAATCTAAACCATTCAAACCAGACGACAAACTGGCTAACAATGCACCATCAGTAGTATACACTTGGATTCTGTGATGGTATTGGTCACCAACGAGCACGTGACCTTCATCATCAAACGCAATGCCTGTTGGGTATTTGAGCTGAGAGTCCGAGGTTGAGTCGTTCCCAAACTCCCTCAGATAATTACCATTGACGTCAAACACTTGTACACGATGATTATTAGAGTCTGTGACGTAGATATCCCCGGTCCTGCTAACAACTGCATAGTAGGGCTGGTTGAGGTTACCTTCTCCGTGTCCATAGCAACCAATTGTTTTCAGGTGAGAACCATTCTTGTCAAAAACCTGAATTCTGTTGTTCCTACGATCAGTTACGACTATTTCATTGTCTTCGTTCACAGTCACTCCCCACGGACGTTTAAACCTGCCTGGTTTCTCTCCAAGACCTCCGAACTTGGACAGGAAGATTCCGTCTTTGTTAAAGCGTTGTATTCTATGATTGTCTTTGTCACATACCACAATTATTCCTTCATTATCCACAGCGACGTCACTTGGATTATTCAGTTGTCCTGCTTTGTCTCCAAATGTTCCAAAACAACGCAAGAAATGACCTTCAGAGTCAAAGATTTGAATTCTATGATTATGACAATCAGCAATCAAGATACTACCGTTGTTCACTGCAACACCCAAAGGTAGATTCAGCTTGCCTTTGCTTTCCCCCAAGCTCCCAAACACTAGACTCGGTCGTGTAATTTGAGAATAATCGCGAGGATTAGAAACTTTCACTATGAACGGACTATCTCTGATTGGTTGCTTGTTTATTTCTACATCCACTTGGTGGTTGCCACTCTCACTCGGCGTGAAAGACACGGAGTAGTTTCCAGTCCCTTCATCTTGGATTCTGGGTTCAATAATATCGTTATTTGGAGTTTGTACTTTGACTGACACAGGGTCCCCACCGCTCTTACAAGGTTCGTTGTTGTAGGTTTTTGCGGTAATCATGAATGATGTCGGAGATCCCTTTTGTCCGCGTACCAAGCCCTCCCCTTTTGCTATCGATAGATCGGGGCAGGTCTCAGACACAGTGACCCTTCCCATTGCATCTTTCACAGCCCCCAACGAATCTTCTTTGGTAAAGTAACAGATTTTTTGAAAAGACGCCGAATTAAAATCCTTTCTTGTGTTCTTGACGTCGTTTAACTTCCGTTTAAGATGTTTTTGAATCACTAAAATCTCTAATTCGTTTCCAATTTTGATAGCTTTCTCAGCGCAATGACAACTTCCATTCAGCTGTTCTAACATCAACTCTAAATGTTGTTTTTCCTTTCGTAGAGTCACTTCTTTTTTCTCATAAGCGTTGCGTAGTTCCAACATTAGCTCCTCAGCTTGATGTTCGAGAGTTTTAATAAGCTTTTGAGCATGTTCTTGAATTGCTTTTTCAGTTCCCTCCTTCTCGTCTTGTAAACAACTCAACATGGTTTTCACCTCGTTGAGACATTTCCTTGTCGATTCAATTTGCGTCCTTCCTTGAGTCAACAAAGCGCCGACATTGTGTTGTTGTCTGTGATAGACGTCCCTGAGGTACGAAAACCTGTGCTTACGATGGTCCACCATAGTGCAATCTAGACAAATAGGTTCGTCACACGTTTCACAGAAGTACTTCAGAATCTCGTTCTTGTGGTCAGGACAGGATCCCAGCATGTCCGTGAAATCCGTCTGCTCTTCCGGTATATCCTCCAAGGCATCTTGGTAACTGTAAATCCCGGTATAATCCTTTGGTGTTTTATGAAACTTACGGGGAGAGATTTGTAGAACCGGGTGAGGCTTAAAGAACTTAGAGCCATTCACATTGCCAATGGCGACAAATTCTGCTAGATAACCATTAAGAATTCCATCTCCGACGCGAGGGACAGAGTTGCCCGTGAAGAAACTGTTCACTACGCTCTCGTAAAGTCTTTTTTTTAAGAGTTCAGTGTGTAGGTCGCTATTCTTCCTGTCCATTATAAAGGTTTACATTTAGGGCAAGCACTTGCTAACGAGATAGCGTAAATGCTTTTCCATTGGTGTTTGAAAGACGTTGGACCTTTAGTACACAATTCTTGTGTTGTCAATTCAACTGTCCAATAATGAAATCCTTGTTTCTTTTTCGAAAATATGGAGAGCCTGGAATCACCATTCCTTTCATGAATTCCACCGGGTTGTGTTCGGTGTTGTTCTTTTGGGTACAAGAGCCACTAATTCTGTAGAATTCAAAGATGAAAGTTTTCATTCGTTAATGCAAATACGCTATTACCAAGAACAACATATCTGTTCTGGGTGCAATTTTGTTTGACATAAGTTAATACACAACTTACAAAGACTTGTCAAACAACTGTCAACCTTAAAACTTCTTGTTTACTCTTGTGAAATATCAGAAGTTCTTTAGAACTGGTTGGGTTTTTTGATCGAAGAAAAGCTTCAGTTTATGTGTAACAATAAAAGAATGAATAAAATTCACAGGTTGTATGAAACAATTCCTTTACAATTTGGATTAATTAACGCTGCCGTGCAACAATGACTCTATTCAACAATTACTTACACAAAGGAAATACACACGCTAAAAAAGACGCGCCAACTTAGTCACTTGTGTCCCAAACTTCGCTGCTATTAAAAGTTACTGTCACATACGCGCACAGTTGTAAAAAACAGTGTTCTCTCCAAAAGCAGTTTATTTTTCAAGAGAGTGCACAAGAATCGCACCGAGCATTGTTGAAACATCGAAAATCGCTTATTTTGAATAGCAATCTTATTACTAAGCTCTTATAATCCCAAGTAGTCATTTTAGAGTTTAACCTTCTTTGCTGAACTGATTTATCCACGTAATCAAAACTAATCCGAAATATGAAAAAAGACGTCTAACTTATCACAACCTCTGTATCTTCGAGCTAACCAATTTTTACAGCAGGATTTTCATTCATTTATAATTATTCAGCAAGTTTGTGTTCTTGATTTGGCAGCTGGGGACAGAAATAAATCGAACAAGAACATATGGGCAAGTGACTTAAAATCACTGTATGAATTTATAAAAATCATATCATGTGAACCCAGGATTGACTGGAATGAGATGGAATGCCAAGAATGGGCTCCCGAACATTTGTTGACTGAACAGTATTTCAGATGTTGCCGCGTGTTTATCAATATTAGCAAAAATAATAAAATTATTATTTTTTTTTTGTTTTTAATTGTACAACTAAACTCAAAAACCCCTTAAAAACCTATTATTCTAGTCGCCTCGGGGATATTTGAAGGTGCGGGTAGCGGCATTGCAAAATCCGATATCGATAAACGATGTTCCTGCTCAAATTTATCACTTTTAAGATATTTAGGTTAAGCACGCAACCGTTGTCATGAGAAAACAGTGCAAAAGAAGCAATGCACTCTTTAATTTCAAGCTCACCAAGTAAAACTCCTGGCGAAATAGCTTAGATTTGAATATGTTCCCAGACTAATTGACGGTCCCCTTCRGAGAAGCAGTCTAAGATCTCTGATGTGTTTTGATAGATAGCGCTTTTAACGCTTTTAACTCATTTTTACTACAACCCACACTCTTCAGTGTTGATTATCTAACCTTTTTGTGTGATTGTTAATTATTCGTCAGGAAATCCAACTCGTTAATGAACGTTTTTGTCGACAATTTGTGTGATAATTGACGTCTACAAAATCATAGTAAGGAAACTGAAAACTCTATTGTAATGTCTGCAAGTTTAGTGAAAATAACACGATATAATTTTAATCTGAACAATCATCGTATGTGCGTATCATAGCAAGAAGTATGTATGATCAGCAAGCCATTATTAATCTAAATACGAAGAAGAAATTTAGATGTAGATAATAGATATTCTCATAGACTGGTTTTATTGTTAAATACACTTCAGCCTACAAAATACATTTCGCTTAAATGTGTACGTTTTTCTTTTGGTTTTGTGCATTTTGTTTCACGGTTTTTTTGTGAACTTTGTTTCATGGGCTAATAAAATCCACCCTAAGAGACTAGGTTGCCAATCTGATCAAGCATCGCTCATCCTGCCTAGTCATAAGTGAAGTTGAAAAAAAGTATATTGCTCGAATTACACGAAACTGGACAAGATCGTAGTTCTTCTCCGAGTATCCGATCATTTTGGATATCTTCAGTTTAGATGTTAGTTTAGACTACCAGGATCCACCCTTTTGGAAGGGTTTCAAACAAACATATCCATTATCCCCGGTGTTTTCCTACCCTCTTTCCTTCCTCCTCCGCCCGAATCCCCCTCCCACTCCTCTCGGAGATGTGCGTATTTTCAAAATGGAGCCTGAGTCTTGAGCTCTTAACACAAGCGTGACTATTTGTGTCTTTCTTGGTGTTTGTATCTAAAAATAACCCAAGTAAATATGTTACTGCTCTGGTAAACAGAATGAAAAGAGTTTGTTGATCGCCACAAAAAGCCTTTATGACCCGTCAGTCCTGTTTTCCGGCCAATTACCATGTGTCCAGCTTGTGTAGACATTGTCTGAATAGATAGACTAAAAAAAGATGATAAACACAGTCCTAGTTGTTACTTGACACAAGTAGTCGCTGTCTAGTATCCCTCCAACAGGGCTAATCAAAAGCGCTCACTATTAAATAAAGGACGCTCTAATGTACTAACGCCAATTTCTCTTTATTCCACCTTCTTTGAGACCCTAAGGCTACTAAAGGGTGCTCAATGAGCAACAAGGGGGAAAATCTGTAGAATTAAAACTTCAATAAGGATATGTTTCAATCTTAAATTCAGTTTCTTATGTTTTTTTAGTGGGTATGCACTAAGATTGGAGCCTTAGGCGTAAAACTATAAGCGCGATAAAACACGCACGCGAGCTCTATAAGCAGCTTCTAGAACTCAACATTCAGACAGTTTGATGACGATGGGGAAAAAAAACTGAAAGATATCTAACTTACCAATTAACATGTATATGAAACCTCTAATGAGCATGCGCGCATTTTGCAACAATGATTTATCCCACATGGAAGAGGCATTATTGAACATGGAAGAAAATATAATTTTATGATYTGTTATCTCTACGCTGCAGTGTTTCTTTGCGCGGGCAGTTCTTTATATYGAAACAAGCACTGATGAATAAAACATCAGTATTGATACAGAACTTGTGAATTCAACATCGGCTTTTTATGGTAGAACTTCAAGGGTCCATCATGTGGAATATTGTTCCARCCCTCATTGATCAAGAGGTTTTGAATTATTCATGAGKTACAGTTAGAGTACAGATGGATGAATTATGAAAAAAAGATGTTTGAAAGCCAACTGCTCTTTGTCACTTCTTTAGAAGGAAGTCAAAATGACAGTCAACAACTTGATGTCCTCCTTGAAGAAAGTGATGGAAATTTGACTGAAATATCAGATTTTTATTGAAAGCTCTTGAAAGAACTTTAGATATGTCACGATTTAGTAGTCCTTTTGTCTACCAAAGGAGGCCGCAGAATGCAAAATGCGCGCAATTCATTTTGAAAAGTTTTCAATTACAAAAGCTCACTAAAGTCAACGGTAACGCAGAGGAAGTTCAGGTGATTGCCTCTATCTTAGCTAAGGGACAGTGTTTTTTTATCTAGATAGAATAAGAATGCAGTTTGCCTTTCGGCATTTTATCTTAATACATCCATGAAGTTATGGAAATAATTAAAACTATAACAACACAACGGAAATAAGTTTTTGACTTTCATCAATCCGTTGATTTTTTTTACTAGTCTYCGAGCATTACTCACAGTTGGTCTTTCAGGATTGGTTGCTATAAAAAAAGCTATATTCAATCTGYTGCTATGACATCATTTCATCGATTGTTATCGCTAGTGTCATCCATAAATATCATCGGCATCATAATGATTATATTGATGATAATTATTGTCTTCATTTGAATCAAGTTCGAAAATGAACATTTGTACYATGATTTGACTTGCTCAAAATATGACTTTAGTTTTATTGTTATACAATAATTACAATGCAAGCATTAATTAATCATTGCCTATTTCTGTTCGCACATCGTTAAGACATTCTTTTTCTATAGACGGTATATCAAAAGAAATCTTTCTTTCAGGCGAAAGTCGAGCTCCCTATTTGCATAAGACGTATCTATAGAGCATAAATTTGTATGTCTCAGAACAGTTAGCAAATTGAATTTTACTATCGAACAATGATAAACAACTGAAGATTAAATCTCTATTTCGATGAGATAACTTCCAAGTCTTCAAAACACCCGCAAAACACCGACGACCAATTCAAAACTYGGCTCAATATTTTAGCCTGGAGTTATTATGAGTTACCTCTGAATGGAGAACTAAAAGTTTACATCAATGATCCGTTTGGTGTTTAATGATCGATATTCCCATTCAATTCCCATCTATTTTTTCGAATGTCTATTATTTACTTGGTTACTAGCGCTTGGTACTTTTATTAATTGTGATAAGTGAGCGCTCTACTGTTCTGTCGAGGCTATTTCAATTTCTTTGTCAAAGTTTAGAATTGTGAAGATCAGGCAAGTGCTTCCGCCGTCGATAGAGAGAAGCCCCCAAGCTACTTGAACAGCATCATTGGAAACTCATGTACGCATATTCATAAACAAATCACTGAATATAGTTCCAGCTCCGCAAATACAAACAAAAATCAAACTAGGAAGTGTTTAAAAAATAACTAGCGAAAACACACAAAATAATTGAAATTATTGAATGTTCTTTTTTATTCGTTTCCGTAGACTAAACGAAATGAAATCATCGAAAGTTTATTTTTTGTATTGGTTAAAGTCATTTCAATGTAGAATTCATTTCATTAGGTTATCACTACCGCTCWCTGGCTTCCTGTTTTTCAAAGATAGCTCATGTCTAATAAAGCTCGCAGTCACCTCGCAAAACGGATCAATGTTATTCGCAGGTAAAAATAACAAAAAACCTATAAACGATACTTCAATTTGTTCGCATCTCGCCAAAAAATGAAATGCTATCGCTCATCGCAATCCGCCTTGTAAAGTATTTGCCTTTTTGGTAAAAAAAGACAATCTTTGCTTGCCTGAGTGTTCTGTGAAGAGAAAATATTAAGTAAACAATTGTGTGAGTTATCTCTTTTCATCTATATCCACTTTCAATATTGAAGCCTGACAGAGAAAATAGCAGTTCTCTTAAGTATATTAACGCAAAAAGCTTCCGTATCTAAAAAGAATGGAAATATCGAATCTGATTCTCATAACGCGACATTTTCAGTTTGATAACAGCTAAATCCTTTTCTTAAGCATTTTTTAGCTGCTGCTTTGACAATCGTTATCAGAGTCTTTGTATTGTATGGAAGCTCTTTGTGGAACGATTGCCGTACGCTGGATTGTTTGACTGTATAAAGTCTCGGCCAACCCAGGACTCAGAAGTGCTGGTATAGATATTAGTATTGAGGTAATCRTCATTACGTCGAAAACATCGAACRAGGGAGCGCGGTCTCCATCGCGGCGGGCAAACATGTTGACGCGATGGTCTTGGGTTATCAGGAACTCCGCGTCGCCTTCGGTTGAAGAACCCACATTTAAATATATACATCACCAAAGCGCACCCACCAACCATTACAAACACRACTATGCACACCACTAGCACTGCAATATGTGTCGAMGTTAGTTGTGYCTTCTTAGTRCTCATYTGCGGGCAAACTGTGTCGATGTCTACGCATTTGTTGTTGCAGCATTTCTCATGTAAGTGTCCCAGAGAACCGCAATCACTCGACAACGCGCAAGTTGTATTGCATGACTTCTTGCAGTACCCGCCACAGCAGAATCGGTAATCACCAAAACAGTCTTTATCTCCGTCACACAAGAGACACAGCGCCATCCTCGTCGATAAGGCGATTAAGATTACTACAAGAGTGTTCATATTCTCACCTAGTAGAGCTGATCAGTGGATTTCAAATCATACACTGCGCCAGAGCACGGGGGAAGCTACAATTGTAGCTATATTCCAATTACTATATACTACTCGAGAATGTCAGCAGTTCCAAAAATACTTTTTAGCCCACAAATTGTTTAACAGTTACTCTCTGGAAGTACACAGTCCGCAAGCGCTTGATAATATGTGTCTTCTTGTTTACTGAGACATTTTGTTTATAACAATTTACCTTAATTCTGTTAATTTAAGATCAACATAAAATGCTGCGTTTACTGGTCCAACATCGAGGAAATACGACAGGCTACTTTTGTTGAAGCTGGCGAAATCTTCTAATTGACGAATCGAACTTGAGCGAAGTAAAAGGGTTTAAGTAGCGAAACAGAATAGTTCCAAAAACGACGCATCAGTTTACGGTTAATGGGATAAATAATAAGCGAAKTCGTCTTAGATGCTTGGCCTCTTAACATCAAATGAAGAATGGAAGCACTTAGTCATAAAATCTATCTGARYMTATCTGCGCAGATCAGATCACAGGCCTCCCGCAGTATCTCATCTTTATACATCAGAAAATGAGTACAGATGGGAAATTACACCGGGCACATAATAAACGGGTTTTGAACTATACAAAGACACTCGTGAATTGAGGAGGAAATACTTGTTTATAGTGAGTGGGAATGAGRCACTAATAGAGCGACGCATGGCGGGAAGTTTGCGTCATAAACAATTCGAGGAAAAAAACACCAGTGAATATAACATACTAAGATTGACTCCTAAGTAACTAGTAAGCAAAACAAAAATAAGAAAAACAACAACAACATATTTGATAAGCTGATTCAAAACGGAAAAGATCAAAGTAAATATGTAAACAAATTATAGTAATGGAAAAGTTGAACAACAAAATAATATAAGGTAAACAACAATAGCAAAAAATACGAACAAACAAACATGATGATGTTGTATTTCTTTATTATATGTAAATATTGATGGAGAGAAACGAAGAAAAAATTTAGAACCGGCAGACGTTAAAGTAGAGGAAAACGAAACTCAAATGTTAATAACTATTAGCTTTTGTCACATCGGCAACGTAAACATGAAAACGAACCCAAAAACGTAAACTTGCGTTTTCGATTACGAATACTATCTTCTATAAGCAAATATCTATCCTTTCAAAAATAAATATAATTTGTAATTACTTGAGCGTAAATTATTATGACAAAGAAAATCTGTTACGATGTGACAATATTTTATCGAAAAAAAGACATCCATCAAAGTAGTCGTGTCCCTATGTAACACTTGTTTTGTTTGCCTGTCAAATGTGATTGTCATGGCTTTTGAAACACTCGTGAATGAAACAAAGTTTACTGTATGAGATAGAAATAATAAGATTTCCTCAACGATCAATTTTTTAAGTATGGGGAGCTGGGAGAAATGTAGTGTGTTATTTTAGTATGTGTTACTTCAGCTCAAGCTCTTGAATTAGATATGAGTGCAGGGAGTTTAGTTTCAACATCCACCGACTCATATGTAGTTTACCTCTGTATTTCAGTCAAGCTAAAAAGACAGAACAAAGAAAAGGAGAGAAAAATAGATAGATGAAAAATGCAAACTGAAAAGAAAAAAATATTCTGGAAAAAAGTTGTTTTCAATTCATACATCAATTTCAAAAAAAACTTTCGGATAACGAATACTGTGATTCTAAGGCCGAAATGCAATGTTCATATTAAACTCCACAGTAACTTGTACCTCAAAACAAGCTTAAACTTATTATAAATAGTATGCTCCATATAATGGGATGACGCCCTAATGCAATTGCATTCTAAATTTGCTAAGTTTTTCCATTTCTGAAGAAGTTATCTCTCTAACCAGGTCTTACTGTCTGTCAATAACACTCTACTCACGATTTAAAATACTAATGTCATACAGAGGCGTAAGGCGCCCAGTTGACTTACACAAATTACATAAACTAAGTTCCATATACTAATATTAAACAGATAAAGCCAAAAGCAATATGAAGGATTACAGCAGCCAATCAGATACGCTTTTGACAAAAAAAAAAGATATGTTTTTCTATAGATGTAACTACTATTTTCTAAATAAAGTATTCAATTCAATAAATAACACTGAAATTGAAATTGCGAGTGAGTGAGTGACTTTGATGGATAACCAAATTAGATGAAATGTCACCTAGGGACTGACAACTATACCCTGAACATGGATGTTTATGGGATTAAAAAGTATTAAAACTTTAGTGCCGGAAGGCTGCGAACGTTACTCAGTAGGCGAACCTTTTAGACAATTTAGATGTAGGTACATGTATTCATAACTATAACCACCTAGTCTAAAAGACTCAAGTACTTCCCATTAGACGTTTTCAGTAATAGTATACTAGCCTTTGATGTCTAAAGGACAAGTGTCAAAACAGCTATATAGATTCATGTAAACATGTATTAAAAGTTCCCAATGCATTCTTGGTCCTCTAGTAATTAAAAGGGCCCTGAGGATCARCCCWGAGTRTCAGTGCTGCATGATATCGTGYGTTACATCTTGACGGAATTTCAAGGCAGAACATAGAAATAATTKCGTCAACAACATGATGAAGACGCTATAACAACAGTCTTTATTTGCCGAAAACAGTTTCTACCTTTATGATGTTTACACATGTACACTTTTCAAGAATTTCAAAMCAAAGTTACTTACCTCGTATGCCTTCAAGAGATGTCATCAAACACCGGAGTGAAACCGTTGGAAATCGATAGTATCACTACCGTTTTACGTTACGACCTCGACTTTTTGGTCAACTAAAGTCATTCAGTGGCTTTTGCAAATTTCATCGTTTTTGCAGTCGGTAGAGTACTATAATCTTTCTCAAAAGCAACGGCGAGCTTCTAAAAAGAGACAAGCTATGTCCGGCAGATAGTGTAATTCTAATGTAGCTAATTTAGCGATAACTACTGGTGGAATAGTTATCTACGCGTGTTTTAAGCTACATGTCATTAAAATGTCATTTGGACATCGCGACTCTGTCTATGTAACCAAATAGATCCARCACAGTTTCTGATTGGTTCTGGAGAGTTCATTTATTTGAACTATAACTACACAGGCTCTAAACTTGACAATGGACCCTTGAATCGATTATTTTCTTGAGTATTCACCGACGTACAATAGCCTACAATAAAGACCCGATGGCTGAAATTCAACTCAGATTATATGATTTCAATAAGGGTATTTTAACTACGGACGAAACAAGGATATGACGCCAGGGACTACAAACGAGGCTAAAACTGATGTGAATGCACCATCAAAATTTTCAATAACATGTTTATGTAAAATAATTTTAAGTGACACTATGCGTTGTCTTGGAGCTTCTCTGGCCCAAGCTTCCTCGGAGCGGTTAGGAACGCCTGGTAACACAGGCTAGGGGTAACGGGGTCACAAGATCAGTAATCAATACCCCATATTGGCATTTATTTACACTGCTGTGTTAGAGGGTTAGGTTTAGGTTATATATCGGGCAAGGTTTTACATGAAGTACTAAGCTGTTTGGCGATTGTAATACAAATATGTCTGTAGAGGATTGTTCTTTTCGTCATGCTGCTGTACGCTCTCCAACTCTCAATCGGGTCGCTGAACTTGCTAAAGATTTGTGTCTTGATATAACAGACGATGAATTGAGCCAGTATAGAGGTACGTTAAGGATACATGGCATACAGGGTGGTATAGAGGTATAGAGGTACGTTAATACAAGGATACATGGCATACAGGGTGGTATTTATACAATCCCATAAAGGGATTGCACAATAATTTTCAGTAGGGGGACGGCCGTTTAAAGAACTAAGACAGGGGCATAAAGAAGAACAGTGTGTGTGGTTGGGTGGGAAGGGGGATGGGGACCGTGTTCTAAGAGCATTTTGGTTTCATAACTAACAATTTTTAAAAATGTATGGTTATAAATAGAGCTTATTTGACTTTCTTAAGGGAAAAGGAAAAGAAGCATAATGCATGTTCCTGAGATAGCTAATGTTCTACAACCATTTAACACAAAGCTTTAGCAAAACAACATGTGCAACTATAGTATACACCTTCAAATTTTGCCAAACATTTTATCATTTCAGATGSAATGTCCAAAACCTTAAAGACTTCCTATCAACGACTATATGACTTAGTTGAGCCAAAATTGCCTGTGAAGTATCCACGTACCACTGGATATAGACCTTCACATGATGAAAATCCATTAAATGCTTGGTAAATAAGTACATYTTTAAGATTTTAGAATAAAGAASTTTTGAGGGYGTGACTTCATTGCTACMATGTGCATCACCACAAGGACTTGGTCATTAGTTTAATATTTTTGATAAACATGCCACCCCCCTTTCATCATCAATAATAACAATCAACATTTTATTCATACAAGCATGTTAATTGCCYGTTAATGTGGCTGCTTCTTTCTATGCAAAGTAATTGCTTGAGTTACATTTGATGTATTGCCAGGAGTTACATTTGATGTATGCCAGGTGGTCCAATCTGCAAAGATTTGAATTAGCATAAAATATCAAAAAATTTCCATATTTCATCATAATGTCACAGTAATAGCTTACATCAGAGAATGATGCTCAAACATTGGCTATGTGGACCTATTAAAATATTCTCTCCAAAATTAGAACTTCACAGTATATTGTTTTGATATATGTCATGTACCAAAGATTGCTCATGTATTTTGTATTTGATATATAGTCACTCTGATCTCTCTTCAGACTATAATCCTTATCCATTAACACTATAGAGTGCTTTGACGTCACGTCATAACAAAATACGGCAATTAAAATATATAAGGAAATATGTATTGTACATTAGGACCTGGAAGTGTGATATACAAGGAGCATCAAGYGGAAAACTACATGGAAAAACCATAGCCATAAAAGATAGCATCCCTGTGGCTGGTGTTCCTATGGTAAAYGGATCATTGATTCTAGAAGGTTTCATCCCAGATATTGATGCAACTGTTGTCACAAGAGTTCTTGACCAAGGTGGACAAATACTTGGAAAAGCAACTTGTGAGAATATGTGTTATGGAGGTTCAAGTTTTACTTCAGCTAGTGGACCTGTTAAAAACCCGTTAGATCAAAGGAAAATAGCTGGAGGATCATCATCAGGATGYGCTGCACTGGTAGGGATATGTTAAGATTTACAATTTGGAGATACAATCACAAAATAATCTTTTTTACTCATGGTGTCTGAGTAGAGGGATACAGGATTTTCTTCAGGGAGGGTTGCAGGGTGGCCAGGAGATGGTGCACTCCATAAAAATATCACAAAGAAGACATARAATATGGGAAAATATTGAACGATTCAAAACCTCAGGGTCTCTGTGCACCACCCCTTCCTCCTCTTAACTAGTATCCCCTTATTTTTATTGATTCCCTCTTGTTCACTGCCTTTTCATCTCTTTTTCTTTCTCATTTTTAATCTTCTTTCCTTATCTAATTTCCTGTTCAATACCTTCATCCCTTAATTATTTCCTTTCATTCTGTGCCTTCCTTCCTTCTTTCATTCTAGAAGTCAATATTATCCCCACAGTAGATTACATAGGTCACCTTKTATTGCACAGGTTGGTGCAGGTCAGGTTGATATGGCAATCTTTCATTCTAGAAGTCAATATTGTCCTTTAAGCCACAGTAGATTACATAGGTCACCTTTTATTGTACAGGTTGGTGCAGGTCAGGTCGATATGGCAATAGGTGGTGATCAAGGTGGGTCGATACGAATGCCAGCAGCTGCCTGCGGGATTGTGGGATTAAAACCAACTATGGGACTTGTCCCTTACACTGGTGTGCCACCAATGGAATTTACACTGGACCATGTGGGACCAATGGCAAACACAGTATTTGATATTGCTTTACTACTAGAGGTTTGTTTGTATTTGTTTGTTTGTATTTGTTTGTATCTATTGCATATGGTCTATAAATAACATAGCCTCCTTTGCAGATGTTTTTAGTATCATATGAGAAAAGTACGGGGAACATACCGGGAACAAATGACTGATACTAATAATGTCTGCAAAGGAGGCTACAAATAATATCAAATATTAATCATTTAAGCCAATAGACTATGCAATTATTGATAAAGATGATGATCATGATTTTCATTTTCATTATTATTATGAAATGAATAGAATTGAAATGAGAGAACACTGCAATTCTTATTCTTCTGGTTCCTTCTAATTCTATTTCTCCTTTACCCTCTATTCACTTTTCATGGTGTAAATCTAATAATGATGATACCATTTCAGTCCATCGCCGGTTTAGACAGTGATTTGGATCCCCGTCAGCCAAGTGACTTGAAAACAACAGAGTACACTAAACAGGTTCGTTATTTTAGGGGGGAGGGGTGCGGCGTGCGCTTTAGAAAAATATCGCAGGCGCGCCCATGAGAACGAGGTATTTTTGGAAARTTTTTGTCTGAAAATAYGCGGACGCCTGCGATATCTTTGAAAGTGGCYAAGCCTCTCGAAAATTTTATCTTTAATRCTATGTAAAACGGAAATTTAATTTGAAATATTGYAATAAATAGAAAAACGAGTTATGAAATTCATTGTTTGAAAGARCTGTATGTTTTCAGCTTAGTGGTGATATACGAGGTTTTCGTGTTGGTCTGGTCAAAGAAGGTTTTAATCCCGGGTTTGAGTCAGACGTCAACGAACTGGTCAGAAAATCAGCMMAGCAGCTTATTGATGTTGGTGCAGTGGTCGAGGATGTATCTATCCCTTGGCACAATGATGGTAAATACT